TATCCACTCGAAAGACACAAACGCAAATAAATGTTTGTCTTTGATATTTTATTTAAACCAATGCATGCGCCACCCACTCGAAAGAAACAACACAATAAACATTTGTTTATGATATTTTATAAAAACCGAGACCAAACCATGTTCATAAAGACATTTGTTTAATTATGTATTTCATCGTCACTAAAAACTTGCTGTTTCTTTTTATCAAAGTATTTGTTGTTTTGACGACTGTTGTGCTATTCTGCTCTGTGGAATTGTTTGTGGCATCTAACGGGAAGTGATGAAATATCCTACGATACTGAGAAAAGATTGTTATACTTTATCACTGTTACGTTGGTGGACGTTAAGGATATATGTTGGATGGGAACAATGATGGTTTTTGTTCGATATTTGCATTGTTGTGAAGGAACTAAGCAAAACAATAGGGAAAAAAAATAAAAATAGATGAATTATAAATGATGTGCTATACAATTATTTCTGCTGTAAAGTTTATAACAGTAGATGTAAAGGTTCAAAAAGATGCTCTATTTGTATGCCACCTTTGTTGTATCCTTTTTAGCCCTTGCGCTAAGTGTTCGCCCAGGCGAAGAAGGTTAATAGGATCTTTCCTGGAATGAGAATATTTCTGTCCGGTGAGGTAGAATATGTGTTCTGTCCCTCGTGACATACTGAAATCATTGAAGTGTTCGTCGTGCTCCCTGTATGTATTGAATGTAACGAACACGTGCTAGTTCACACGTCGTCAATATGACATGATCGGGACGGGTATAAATCTAACATATCCCATGCTTCGTTCTCAGGTGTATTAATCTAGGATATAAAAATGGTTGTCTATCTATTTCTCAAAGGCGTGGCATTATTTCATGTATACAAAAGGGAGACAAACCCAGACATTTTATAAAAAAATGTAGACCCATTTCATTACTTAACGTTGTATATAAAATTGCTTCTGGCACCGTTGCACACAGAATAAAAAATGTTTTAAACGAAATAATTGACAATGATCAAACAGGCTTCTTAGCAGGACGTTATATAGGGGAAAACACCAGACTTGTTTATATGATATCCCAGGTATGTTTTTAATGATTGATTTTGAAAAAAGCATTCGATTCTTTGTCATGGAAATTTATTGAAAAGGTTTCAATTTTTTTGGTTTTGTAAATGGTTTAATCTCTTGGGTCAAAACATTACATAACAAAGCTAGTGCTACAATTAATCAGGGTAAAAAGGAATCTGTCTTCTTTTATTTTTAAATAAAAAGGGGTGTCGACAAGGGGACCCAATCGCCCCTTATATCTTTATTTTGTGTGCCGAAATATTGGCAATTAAACTAAGAAATAATGAGAAAATTAAGGGTATTGATGTTGATGGTTGTCCTATACTTCTGTCACAGTATGCAGATGACACTTCACTGGCACTTGTTGGGTCAGAAAGGTCACTGAGGGAATCAATTACAGAGCTTAACTTTTATGCAAATATATCAGGATTGAAAATTAATATCTCGAAAACTCAAGTGGTGTGGGTTGGCAGCAAAAAATTCGGCACAAACCAAATCCTTCCTGAACTTAATTTACAATGGGGTAGGGATCACTTCACTCTTCTTGGAATTGAATTTCATGCTAACTTACATCGGATACCTAAACTTAACATTGACAAAAAACTTATAAAACTTAAATCACTAATTAATTCCTGGAAAAGACGATTATTAACCCCAATTGGTAAAATAAATGTAATTAAATCACTTTTAGTTTCACAATTTAACCATCTATTTATCTCACTGCCAAACCCCGATGACAAGTTTCTCTCTAAATTAAACTCATTGCTATATGAATTTCTTTGGAACAGTAAAACAGATAAAGTAAGAAGAGATGTTGTTACCCAGGATTACATTGATGGTGGTTTAAAAATGGTTAATGTTAGAGTCTTTATAGATTCTCTGAAGCTGGGGTGGGTTAGAAGACCTTTTCAATCAACTTCGAAGTGGCAAGTAATTTTAAAAACATATCTAAACTTAGACCTTATGGCCAATTGTGGTACTGATTACATACAACGCTGTCAAAATAAATGTAAAAAAAAAAAAAAAAAATCCAGTGCTGTGATATTTCAATGTGACGGCACTATAAAACTGACCGTCAGTGGCCGAATCATTCGTGGATACGGATTTCATGTGATTCTGGCTACTGCCTGTATATAAACCCCCAAATAAGCAACGCAGTGAATATGACAATACCAGTTATGCCTTGTTTTTGTTTATTAATGTTATTTTTTGTTTCAGGGGTGCTAGAACACTAAATCTATATCGATATTGTGGTACCTTTGGTATGTTGTATATTAAATTAAGAATGTCAGTTATGTGAGTGTAATATATAACAAAGCTGATGTTTTCTATTATCCCAGTAGCCGAAAGATAAATAATGCTACTTAGCATATACTTCCGACACTTCCGTACAAACACTAGAAAATAACGTCAATGCGGACACACCTACCGGACTTCGTTAGCACTACGAATGAGAAGGTGCCAAGGGCAACTCTAGAAGGATGTAATTGTAGGTGATTCAGCAAGTGAGATTTCATATCAAATCGCTGTATCTAATTGTTTTATTATTGCATGTATCACATATGGTTTATTGTAACTCCAGATTCGGTTTATCATATCTCGAGAAAAAAGTTGTTCAAATTATCTTGAACACCATTAATATGCAAAGAAAAGGGTCGGTTTGAAAACAGTATTAAAAATCATGCACACAATTAACACTGTCATCTCGACCTCTTTTATCCACCCAAATCAGTGCCTCTTCCTACCGAGTCATTTTAATACAGAGGTATTCCTAGGTTTAAGAATCAATAATTTTTACTATGAACAACAAAAATACCAGCATGTCAACAGAATCCAAACTCAAATTTAGCAAAACCAGGGCAAACTATCAACAAAACAAAGATCTAAACAGAGTCTCATGAAAGATTACAAGGAGAATAAGGTGTTCCGAAAGACTAAGCGGCTTCTACTTCATTGACGACCTCAGACATGGAAATTTTAGTCAAAATAAATTAGCAATGTCATGTTCTCAAATGAGAACAGTGTATGCAACAACGGGACCAGCAGGCAAAATGACAATCACAAACACGTCCAGCTTCACATAGAATATCTCTCAATGAGATCACTATGCCGACCGTAAAAAATTACTATAATTTTTCACGAACCTGTATCGTTTGAAACCCTGTGTAACGAGTTAGTCCGTCAGTTGACGACTTCCTGCACTATATTCATGATACTGGCAACAATACCTTGAATATCGTATCACGTGAGTGATTAAAACCACAACAATCCGATAACTTTGATAAAACAATTTTTAGGAAAATGTCTTGCTCAATGACTTTAAATGATTGATTTTGATGATTGTGGTTAAAAAAAAAAGAAAAAAAGAACCATTGTTCGAAATGTCTGCTATCTCAAGATTATTTCAGTGTAAACGTAAGATTTCTGAAAACTACTTTGCCATCACGGACATCCTAGTGTGTTCAATGCTGTGGAGGAGTACTTAGCTGTAGTTGCTGACTAGTCACTAACAACTTACGATTGATGTGTCATAGGTCAACGAGTGCGTGTCTTAATTTGATGTGTTTTACAGTCGCAGATTCATAACGTGACTCCGATATATATAAGAAGACCTTTGTCATTAGAGATATTTCGGAAACAGAATCATTCACGTAATTATCACTGTCATCTGGGCCACTTTCATTCATCCAAATCTATACCTAGTCACACCAATACGTTTTAAGTATTCCTAGGTTTAAAAATAAATAATTTTTTATGAAAATAATCATAACCCAAACAAAAATTCAATAAAATCAGAGCAAAATAAATGAATAAAAGAAAGACTTCAACAGAGAATCCTGTAAAGTACAAGGAGAATAAGACCATGTGTTCAGGAAGAGTAAGCGTCTTCTTCTTCATCGACGACACATGTCAAATAAGTAATTACGTTCTCAAATGAGCACAACATATAAAAAACAATGAAACAAACAGGCAAACTAACGTCCAATTCGCAAGAAGAAATATAATTGTACTAAATGAGATCACTATGACGACCGTAAATCTTCTTCCTAATTTTTATCAACCTGCATCTTTTGGAATCCCGTGTTACGAGTTTGTCCATCAGTTGACTAATTCACGTTCGGAAATCGTGATAATGGGAACAGGTCTTTGAATATCGAATCAAATGCGACATGCAAATACATGAGGTTGGAGTTTCAGGATTGTTGCTACCCAGAAATAGAAATTTCAAAAAGGGAAATTGAACTCATAACGCTTATCATACAGCATATTGGAAAGCTGAGGTAAAAAGAGTCCTTCCGATTTCCATTTCTAGTGGATACATGTACGTGGTCAATAAATTTCTGTATTTAAAGACGTCATCAATATATATGAAGATGAAATTAAACGACTTAACACGATCTTTGTGACCTGTTTTGACAAGCTCTTCAATAAATTCAGCCTCGTATATATGAAAAAAAAACAAAAACAAAAACCACCCCCCTCCCACCCTCACCCCCCAAAAAAATTCAAGAAACAAAACAAAACATGTCAGCCCAATTTAGTTCACATGTGTATGACGGTAACGTTTTGGAAGATCTTAATTAAATGATTTTACAGAAGCTTACCTAATTATTGTGCATTATGTACATCACAGTAACCTTACATCTGGGTCCTCGAACGAAATACTCACCAATCTCTACTCAAATATCGACACGTTCGTGAGCAAAGATGTGAAGGTTTGATGGTGAAAGTACACACGAAGTTAAAACATTTTTGTGTATAACGTTATCCATAGCTGTGATAAAGTCAAAACAGAGAAAATGTAAAGGAAGACATTGGTTGATTAATTTCACGTATTCTGGCAAAATAGATCCTGAACATTCATTCAAATGGAAATTATCATCTAATATTATTGTTATATATCAGCCACACAGAAGGAAGTAGAATCTCTTATTGTACTTACCAGTATATTTCCGACGAAACCCACCAGTAGAGACAAAACTATAAACACTAAAAACACTATAGTTATTATCGGCTCTTCCTTCAACGGTTTCCAGTAGAAAATATCCTCTCCAGTATAATTCTCTCCGTGTATTTTTCGTCCACGTTCCCAGTCATTCCGGAAAATTGGTAAAATATCCATTTTGTCTGTTATGTGAGGATAATCTTGTTCACAGATTCTGGAATTTCAATTATATTCCAGCTCAGGCCTGTAGCGTTTAATGTGATAAGCATTCCATTAACGTAACACACACTTAGATGTTTCACGTTGTAATTATCTCTTTGTTTTGATACGTCGTTCCGTTGGTAAAATTCCTAATTAAAGCAGATTTAAATATGCAAATAACACATTTCTTCAAAACGATTACGACCGAATTTCGTTATAATTTTATCAAGAGTGCTCTAGGTTGAATGATACACACTCTAACCAAGCACACGGGAGGCAGGAACAAACGTCTGCACCGGACAGGCCTGAGCCTAACACTAGACAAGTTTCCTGTTTCTATGTGCATTCCGCGAAAGGCCGTGACTCAAACAAACATGGCCGACTACATATACCCTTAGCGCTTGGATAAGGGATGCTTGGATGCTATTAATTTAAATCACCAGGGACCTTACAACTGATTCTAAGGACGATACAATCAAACAATTTTGAAGTTTGTAATTTAAGCCGAAATATGTTCCTAATTAAGCACAGCGCCGTGTGTCGCTGTAGTAGGATAGCTTTGGTATACTACGATACAGTAAAACAGAAGGACATGTTACCCCTCGTCATTTCCATAGATTACATAGACTTTTCCATATATGTATATATTTACCTACTTAATTTCTATGTTACATACTAACAGTCAAGGTGACCTTGATTTTAATGCATACAACGTTATTTGAATACATAAGTAATTGTATACCTAGATACATTACGTGTTCATATTGTGTATATATATATTTTTAACTAAGTGTAACGTTATATCAATGAAACTTGATATCATGATCCACCAACAATATAAATACTGTCTATGTGTTATTTTTTATTTGAAGAAGTAACGTTGATTACAACCACTACATCTAGCTAACTTGCTAATGTCATGTGAATATATAAGGATAATTATATATCACAGAAAATTTAGCATTATATCTCTTCCGACTCGTTTAACTGAAACCGGAAGTGTCCGGTCATGATCAGTTATCATTTCCGTTCTATTTATATTCATTTTAGTAATGACGTCACAGATAACGGATGTACTAAACATGTGAGTAACTGATGACAAAAATAAGGCAGGGACAAAGGAGACGTCAGGAAGAAATATTTCAAAGAAGAGAAGTTTATTTCGATGCCAGAATCAGCCATCCGATTCGTCATGCCATGGGACAAGCGAAATCGTCAATACTTGAAATGGAGGAATCGGGCTGAGAACTAGAAAGCAAACGTATTCAGTGTATTGCGATGGGCATGTACTTCTGCAGACTTATATCTGGTTTGTACTTTGTTGATCAAAGAGTACTTCTTGTACAAAAGTCAAAGACGTGTTTATTTTTTTTGAAAATATGAAATTTATATACATTGTATATACATGTTTTTTGATAATTGAATTGCGACACAAGTTTTTCCAACTTATACTAGTCACTCTTGTTGACCCGGACGGAGGTCTTACTGCTGGAGGAAACGGAAGTTCCCAGAGAAAACCAACGTGGTCGATCACCTATGCATTTTCACTTCCGTTCTGGGAATCGAATCACGGACACCTTGGCCTTGACGCGTTACCACTGCGCCATCCGCGCAATTTTGGATATACTTATAAAAATAAAGTGTTAATTTTGGGATTCGTGTTCATTTTATTAACGAATTCGCTTGTTTCATTTTATTTGTAACATAAAAAAAATGAAATCACCACGAGTTTTTTTGTTGAATTATTAATTAATGCCACGTATGTGTCAACGGAATTGGAGAAGTGCGTGTTACTACTTATCGCGCTATGTTACATTAACACATTCTCTGTTACAGTGTAGAGGTTTTTATCACTTCCTGTCTGTGGAGACCATTAGTTGTCGCACTTCCAGTAACCACGTGACAGAGATAAGGGGACGAAATGACATTTTATGATGACTTATGGGATACAATATAAAAATGGTCTTATCATTAACTGTGTTGTGTATTCCTGACAGAATTGTACCAAATGAATGGATAACGGTTGTCCTCGCACAATCTATTAAATCGCCTTAATAACGTGCTAAAATGATAAAATAGCAATTAGTGCCCGGTAAGATTGAGTTCGGATTGTTGCATTTTAACCTTTACTGGTAACCTTGATAGCAGTTTGGTTTATCAAGTCATATCCTGCAGCTTTTTGTGAAAACCCATTATCAAATCGCTATATTTTTATACGCTTCAGAATACGACATGCTAACCTTCGGTCTATTCTATCTATCCTGTCATACTATGTATTCCCCCTTTAGTAAACGTTCTATTCTAAAGTATACCACTCGCTGTATTTTATAAGCATTTAGAGATGTGGCATATATAACGACCATAAATGCCATCACGAGTCATCTCAATGTTTATTTATATCCACGCATGTTGTTGTCCTGTAACTCTCTAATAACCTGGATTAACTAAGATAAACAGTACATCATTGACAATGTAACTCGTCAAGTAGAACAGCCATTTTGACGTTGACAGTTCCCCTGCCTTTAATAATGACGTTTACATCTTGCATATTTTTAATCTGTTAACCATCTCGTCACACTTTTTCGACCTTAGTGTACGTAGGATTATAACACAGCCGAAAAAGTTGGTCGATTCCCTACCATCTCGTCACACTATTTTCGACCTTAGTGTACGTAGGATTATAACACAGCCGAAAAAGTTGGTCGAGTCCCTGCTCTCTCGTCACACTATTTTCGACCTTAGTGTACTTAGGATTATAAAACAGCCGAAAAAGTTGGTCGATTCCCTACCATCTCGTCACACTATTTTCGACCTTAGTGTACATAGGATTATAATACAGCTGAAAAAGTAAGTCGATACCTTACCATCTCGTATGTTACGTACTACGGTACTAGTACGTTCCACACTGGTCATTTGTCTGATGAAGGTGACCGTGAAGCCATCGAAACGTCACACTCTAATCTTCTACTAGTTGTGTTAAAAGGACTTCTATTCTACGGACATTACCAAACCGAAGAAAATATTCCGAAATGTTATTTTCCATGCCTTGTTGTCTGTCTTGTGTACAATCTTCGAGATTGCTGGTGAAAGACACTCCTGGTGGACTAATAGTCCCCGAGGTTTGCCGCAAAATGCATATTACGTTTTAATTCAACGGAATAGTGACACGGTTCAGAATGTATTTCTGTATTTAACGTCCTTTTGAAACAATAGGATGTATAAATATTTAAAAATATATTGAACTAGTTGGCTAGTGTACCTCCTGGCTCTTTTAAGTGTAAGTCTAAATTTTAATTGAAAAGCGTCCTTTCTTAATGTGTCGTTTTCACAATCTTGGTGGAACTCTTTATACCAAATTATATCCTGCCACTGGCGCAGCCATAATTACATACTTACCATATAAATTTTGCCGCATATGGTAGTGATGGAATACAGCTGTATTTTAGTAAGTGCCTTACTTCACAGCAATTACTTTCTTAATTAAGTAACTATCTTTTATCATACTTAAGATATGAATAACTGTTGAAGTTTGAATTCTGTTCTGAATAAGATGACTTAGGAAAGGTCATACAAACTGCTAATTTATACCATAAATTTGGAATTACATTTCCTTGCGGAGCAATTTGCTAGGTGTTCGTCATTTGATCTGAACTAGCGTAACGTTAACGTCAGGTTAACACAATTTTCATACAAACTATCAACGACTGAACTACTAATCAGAAGATAGATAGAATCGAAGGCTAGTCACATTTGTCGCTCTGTTTTAAGGAACTGACCATGCATTATTAATACAGCTATATATCGTTCACCTTGTATCATTTCTAACACATCCTCTTCGGTGTAGGAAATAGTTAGATATACCATGATATATAGTTCAATAAGATGAGAACATTGTGTATCGTTTAAACATGTAAACATGCAAGGCAAACAAGGCAAATAAACTTGATTATCGCTAAATTTTCAAGCCGTGTCGCAATCAATAATATATAAGGGGAGATAATAACGTTATTATCTCCCCTTATATATTATTGATTGTGTTACGTCAAAATGTTGTTACCAAGACATTGAAGTAATCGCCTGAAGATAGCCAATACACGGCTTGAAAACGTTAGCGATAATCAAGTTTATTTGCCTTGTTGGCCTTTTATGTTTACATATACATATCCCCTACTAAATAAAATATCTTTTTACTTTTTTTTTGTACTAACATATTACGCACCGTGTGAACTCCCAGTAATGAAAACATTTGTCTACAATGAACAAACAAATGCTTTACAAATCATACATCTGAAATTTTAAACATTTTTTTATTGAAATCTGAAATCTTCTTTACGCGAATTAATATATTTTAATGTAAGGAGCATTTACACATTAACAACTAGAAATTCCCCGACCTCCTCCTCCTCCTCCTCCTCCTCCTGCCTACCGCCACCCCCTATAAAAATGTTAATGAGACAAACAACTTTCTAAACTCGATAGAAGGTTACACTCATGTCAAGTTTCGTTTACAAAATATTTTTCAGTAAATCTCTCTAATCAGAAATAGGGTGTGCCACCTGAGGTCGTTTATAGAATGTACGGTAAATATTAAAACTGTGTATATACATATGTACTAGAATTCAGTTGTACTGGTTCTCGGGGCTTTTCACAGCAGGAATAGTCTTAGTGACAGAGATATAGAAAATCTTGTCTATAGCTGGTGCGAAATAACTTCATTACAAGTTACTTAAGTATTTTAACATATGGCAGACACACTTCTTGCATAAACTAGATGAAAATAGATATAAATAGATAATTCCTATAGTATACCTAAATAGATACAAACAACCAGGTACAATTGAAATGATAGGCTATAATAATGAATGTAACATTGTATAAAGTTTTGAAATAAATTATACTTAATAGTATCTTCAGTAATAACAAACATATTTCACAAGCGTGTCTAATGTTTCACGACTGCGCAGTCAGACCTTAGTCTCCTTGTGCTTTTCAGGTGTTTCCGAGTAAATCTTTTTGGTTTGTTCATATTTTGCCAAACTTTAAAGGAATTTGAGTTTATGATTATGTTTCCATTTGGTATCTTCTTGATGATTTTTATTACTGAGGACATTGTTAAATATTCTTTTTATTACATTTTCATGGACAAACTAGTCAAATATTGGCTTGTATTGAACAGAAATAAAAGGACGAAGATGACTATGCTTTTCGCGGACACTACTCACTCATCATAAATTTGTAGTACGCGACAAAAAATAGTCCGTTCAAAAAATGGTAATCTATATACACACGTGCTAATAAATCGGACGATAAGAATTTACATGCAAATTAAATAACGAGTTTTTTCTTAGTTGCATCTTATTTCTTTATCTGAGGATTTATATAAGAAACATAATTATACTGTCTATATGAGAAAAATGAACAAAAATCGAAAAAAACGCATTTATGACTGATTGATGTAATTGTAAAGTTAATCTAAAATCTTAAATGTTTATTACAGAGCAGAGCTCCAAGATCGTATCCTGACAAATATGTGAAAATTAATTCCTTAAAGTACAAATACATATTCAGAGCATTTGTATCTGCATGTGTGGCAACAGATTGCGACTAACAACACTTTTAAGTGTATTGTAGCATACGAATGACAGTATTGAGCATCTGCTGTTTATATTTCACAGTCACCTTATCGCACGCCTGACCTTTCTGTACTTGGTGACTAAATGTATAAAGTTCATAATTGCAGCTTTTAAAAACTGATTTCCTATATTCACGGAGATTAAGCCCACGAAATGATCTGTCACTATTGTGCCGGTGTGAGAACGGACATAAGGTACTGTCTGTTTCAGAGACACAACACCAGCACTGTGGAAAATAGCGCCACCTTTCGCTTCTGTAGGCGTCGTAAAAATGTCCTTTTTTAGGTGAATCGTATTCATGGTTTTCTGCGTTATTAAACCACGTGATAATACTTTACTTTAATTAAGAGCAGTAGATAATGCAATTTATACCTTGTTTGACATTTATTAATTCAATATAAACTACACGTTTTATGCAGTTTTGCTGTTTGCCAGTAGTTTGACAGATAGACCTACAACACAGCGACTCTAGAAATGGATGGTGATGAAGGCTGTGAATATGTAAAAATTGCCTCACTTGGGTAAAATATTTCCTTGTGGTATATAATTTTAGATATTGTACACCAGGAAACTTTCGACTCAATTTAACAATCGCTAATTTCAGCTTTTAATGCGAATTAAACATAGCGAAAGCAAACATTCTGGATTTACATGGTGGGTTTCGTTGATAAAGCTCATTTGACAATTGGAAGGGTCTCATTGTTTCATGCTATACCAACGTTTTATTGATTTTGAACTTTTATTGAGATTTAATTAATTAATGTCGTTCTCTTTTAGTTTGTATAATGATACTAAAAATAGTTTATCTGTATATTATTTCATATTGTTTCAATATACAATGTACTGATCAGAATATATACTGATAAAAAGATTCAGAAAAAATCATTGAACCTATATCAATTTGCTCTTTACGTAGTATCAATATGTTGACAGTAAATATTTATATGTGTTTATTAATTTGCGAGTAGTCCTAATGATATACCATATAGCTGCTAACCTGTACGAGTCAAAATTTTCGCGATTTTTGTTTTGTTTTTTTGTTTTGTTTTTGCAAACAATCGGATAATATTTTAACGAATAATGATTTCGCAATCTGGAGGACATCTTAGACGCACGTGTCACGGATTATAATTTCGCGACCACGTTAATGTACCGCGAAACATATCCTCCCCGGTTTATTGTTTGACTGTAAAGGATTCTGTATTCTACCAGATAGTTACAACATGATACTAGTTTGTTGATTGTAATGTACATGTATTCTGTGTCCTTGGTAATATAACGTGCGATACCTCCTCCCTCCTCCCCTCAACCACCCCCTCTCCCCACCGGGAATTTTTTAATTATAGGACACCAGGAAGTTAATATAACGATAAGTGAAAATCCCATAATATCCTCTTGTGTGGTTTTCAATTGGGTTCATGGTCAATGACTTATCGGCAACTGTTAGACAACTGACCTCAGTTGTTTAAAGCTTGGTAAGAGATAAAAGTAAAAACATACAAAAAATATTTGAACAAAACTGGAAACAATCTTTCTCTTCTAACAGCTGTAGATTTGTTGAAACAGATCAGAATACTATTTTTGATTGAGAAGTCGTTGTTTTTTCAATGGAAATAATTTTATTTTACTTTATATTGTTTAACTCTAACCAGACTTTCAGCAACTTGAATCTGGTGTCATTGAGGTCAACATTTTCCTGACTTGATCTAATTATTCGTTCTAAGTGTATGATAATGACAACGTTAAGAACGCGGAACAAAGCTTTATTTTGTAAAGAAAAAGAAGAAAAACAAAGTTCATTTAAAGTAAATAATTAATATAGAAATCAAGTTTTCAATCAATGTGACGACAGCATCAGCACTAAGAAAGATAACTCGAATACACAGGAGAGACAGACGGTAGGCAAATAATATATTAAAAAATTTGAGATGCTCAATGAGCCCTTATCTTTCATTTATTTATTTGTTGTCGGTATTCTACAGTGTACGCGAACTCCCTCGCATCTAGTACCCGTTTGAGAACGAATCGAACATCGCCCCACAGTTTGTTCACGAAGACCAGTTTTCATTGTTTATCTATTCTGTTCCTTCCGGTACGTTTTCTAGGATCTCGGTGTGCTACTTTCCTTTATTTATAAATTGCTGTCCTCTTGTGATTAGAACCAGCATTATGATGCTGTTTAAGTTTTGTGGTGTTTAGATAAATTCTATCGAATATTTTGCCCTCTAAGGAGAAAATCCGTATTGTATGGATCTGCTACTTAGTTTAAAATACCATATGCAATTTATACAGCATTTTAACGTTCTAATTAAGCACTAGATTTTAAATGTTAAATATTTTTCATTCAACCAGGCAAAAATCGAAAATTTAGATGTGGGGTTAGCCAAGGTATTTTTCCTATGACCTATTTTGTCATGAGCGAATTCTTATTTGGAACAACCTTTGGCGAGGCCCCACCGGACAGATACTTTTAGATATCCTTCTTTGGTCCCCGTGTGGCCAAACAGTATTCTGATAAGGAAGTATGTGACCAATTCTCCGCTCCCTCTGATGGGATTGTGGCAAGCCTTAAGACTGTTGTCACGACACCACAGCCAGAACAAAATGCGAGAGTTTTTGACGACGCTGGTGTGTTTGGAGCTGATCTTGGTCGGGTTCGCATACATATTACCAGGTAAAGGCTTCAATAGTTTGTACCTTAAGTCGCTAGTGGTGTAATAAGTAATTGTCAAAACATAGTTAGAAAAAAGATACGTTAGAAGCAAATGATGATTTAAACTGTATCATACAACGGTTTTATTGTTGTGGGACTCGTCAGAACTGAAATTGTTGAGATGTAGGAGGCGACCGAACATATTTGAATATCATTAAGTATGTTTTTACCGCCAGTATGATAATGTTACAGTATTCAAAACGCTCTTCTACTTTCAGAACGATATATTTTGTTACTATCTGAACGTGACCCCTTTATCAACCATAATACAAAAATATACATATTCTAGTACGCATTCATATGTATTTTTTTTACATTTCTTTCAACCACTTTGGGTTGTCCTCTATCGCCTCCAAGGTTTAAATTAGGTACAACATATTTTGTCCATTACATCGACCTTATACTTTATCTATGTCTCATGTACTGTTCCTTTGTTCTATTGACAATATTTCACTATTCTATCCCAAATAACAAAATCATGATATACATAATTCTAGCGTATTGGGACGACGACATATTTGTCTGGAAAGGTGTAAATGTTGTTAGGTGTTTTAGTAATCTTTGATGACAATTAGGTAGAAGGAACAATAAATCTAGAAACAAAGTCACAGATAGCTTATTAACGAGACCAGCTTCATACCTGATACCTCTGTTGTTGTTTACCTTGTTGTCATAGTGAGATCACTTACCCGGAGTGATCAAGGTAAACACGTTGGATGTCCTCGGTGAACTCGAAGACGCTTACCTGAAACACCTGGTCTTTTTCTTCTAGTACTTTCTCAGGAAATTCTGTGTAAAACTTTCTTTAGTAAATATTTGAACTTTGTTTCGTCGAAATTGCATTTGCATTGAGATTTTGTCAACATATTGGTATTTTCTTGTTTTTGTTTTGTTTTTGTGAAAACTAAGCGTATATACAGTTGCTTTTTGAGATAAGAAAATTCAATAATGTCGGCATTTGATTTGTTGTTTTCAAAATGTCTTTGAGCTGTATACTAACTGTAATATATACATATATACAACGCTGAGTTGCCATCCGTTGTATGAATCATGACTATTTTTATTTTCTGTAAAAAGTTGTATTTATAGAAGTAAACACAAAGGACAGTGATTCTGTTTCACATCAAAATGCAAAATTCAAGGAGAATTGAACTTTTGTTTGGTGATAATGACTGGTTGATTTTAGAAAGTTTTTAAAAGCAAAATTTCAATGTTTCCGTACTATTTTTTTCCAGTACAGGCGTCAGGATATATATAAGATGAAATATCATTTTCACATATCGATCTTATTATTTTTTCTGAAAAACATTTTTTTTTGTTATTTCCAAGAACCCTATTTGAGATATTTTTTTCGTCTTTGATTAACAGGTAACGGGTATGGTACTTTGATATTAAGATAAGATAATGTGAAAAATTTTAAGTTTGAATTTTATCTAAGAGGTTTTAAGCTACATAGCAACCAAAAACGATAATGTACAAAAATGACTTAATTCCTTTGTTCGACCATCTTTTAGTATTGAATGTTTTGAAAGGGACGGAATGGTTAGATTTCGTTAAGTCTTCCCTTCCCTCACACAAGTTATTAAATGCTTAAAATCATTACCCTCCGTAATCTTCCCTCACAACATTAGATAAAGAATTACATTCCTTCACAAAGTTAGATAAAGAATTACATTCCTTCACAAAGTTAGATAAAGAGATAAAGAATTACATTCCTTCACAAAGTTAGATAAAGAATTACATTCCTTCACAAAGTTAGATAAAGAATTACATTCCTTCACAACATTAGATAAAGAATTACATTCCTCCACAAAGTTAGATAAAGAATAACATTCCTTCACAAAGTTAGATAAAGAATAACATTCCTTCACAAAGTTAGATAAAGAATAGCCTTCTCTCACAAAGTTCGATAAAGAATTACATTCCTTCACAACATTAGATAAAGAATTACCTTCCCTCCCAAAGTTAGATAAAGAATAACATTCCTTCACAAAGTTAGATAAAGAATTACATTCCTTCACAAAGTTAGATAAAGAATAGCCTTCTCTCACAAAGTTCGATAAAGAATTACCTTCCTTCCCAAAGTTAGATAAAGAATTACATTCCTTCAAAAAGCTAGATAAAGAATTACATTTCTTCACGAAGTTAGATAAAGAATTACATTCCTTCAAAAAGCTAGATAAAGAATTACATTTCTTCACAAAGTTAGATAAAGAATTACCTTCCTTCACAAATTTAGATAAAGAATTACATTCCTTCACAAAGTTAGATAAAGAATTACATTCCTTCACAAAGTTAGATAAAGAATTACATTCCTTCACAACATTAGATAAAGAATTACATTCCTTCACAATATTAGATAAAGAATTACATTCCTCCACAAAGTTAGATAAAGAATTACATTCCTTCAAAAAGCTAGATAAAGAATTACATTCCTTCACAATATTAGATAAAGAATTACCTTCCTTCCAAACGTGAGATAAATATTTTACTTGATTTTATAAGTGTGATATACAATTACATTTCTTCACAAAGTTAGATAAAGAATTACCTTCCTTCACAACATTAGATAAAGAATTACATTCCTTCACAAAGTTAGATAAAGAATTACATTCCTTCACAAAGTTAGATAAAGAATTACATTCCTTCACAATATTAGATAAAGAATTACATTCCTTCAAAAAGCTAGATAAAGAATTACATTCCTTCACAAAGTTAGATAAAGAATTACATTCCTTCACAAAGTTAGATAAAGAATTACATTCCTTCACAATATTAGATAAAGAATTACATTCCTCCACAAAGTTAGATAAAGAATAACATTCCTTCACAAAGTTAGATAAAGAATAGCCTTCTCTCACAAAGTTCGATAAAGAATTACCTTCCTTCCCAAAGTTAGATAAAGAATTACATTCCTTCAAAAAGCTAGATAAAGAATTACATTTCTTCACAAAGTTAGATAAAGAATTACATTCCTTCAAAAAGCTAGATAAAGAATTACCTTCATTCACAACATTAGATAAAGATTTACCTTCCTTCACAACATTAGATAAAGAATTACCTTCCTTCACAAAGTTAGATAAAGAATTACATTCCTTCACAAAGTTAGATAAAGAATTACATTCCTTCACAAAGTTAGATAAAGAATTACATTCCTTCACAACATTAGATAAAGAATTACATTCCTTCACAATATTAGATAAAGAATTACATTCCTCCACAAAGTTAGATAAAGAATAACATTCCTTCACAAAGCTAGATAAAGAATTACATTCCTTCACAATATTAGATAAAGAATTACCTTCCTTCACAAAGTTCGATACAGAATTTCCTTCATTCCCAAAGTTAGATAAAGAATTACCTTCCTTCAAAGTTAGATTAAGTATTACATTCTTCCAAAGTTAGATAAAGAATTACATTCCTTCACAAAGTTAGATAAAGAATTACATTCCTTCACAATATTAGATAAAGAATTACATTCCTCCACAAAGTTAGATAAAGAATTACATTCCTTCAAAAAGCTAGATAAAGAATTACATTCCTTCACAATATTAGATAAAGAATTACCTTCCTTCACAAAGTTAGATAAAGAATTACATTCCTTCACAAAGTTAGATAAAGAATTACATTCCTTCAAAAAGCTAGATAAAGAATTACCTTCCTTCACAACATTAGATAAAGAATTACCTTCCTTCACAACATTAAATAAAGAATTACATTCCTTCACAAAGTTAGATAAAGAATTACATTCCTTCACAACATTAGATAAAGAATTACCTTCCTTCACAACATTAAATAAAGAATTACATTCCTTCACAACATTAAATAAAGAATGACCCTCTTTCACAAAGTTAATTAAAGTATTACCCTCCCTCCCAATAAATAGCCCCAAAAGTTCACTTTGATAACGATAAATACAACTTCAGATAAAGTGTTTAAGATAACAAAAGTCGAAGATATTATGTTAGAATTCATCTTATTTTGAATGTCGTTGCCGGTCAAGCGTCCTAAGAATACATCATTAAAATTTCTATGGTCAACTCGTCAAATAGATAGACCCGTATTTAAAATTTAACTTAGATCAATACTAGTCGTGATTGGGTTCTTTTGAAAACAATTTTAATTTCAATATATTATCCCGACCAGGTATCCCTTGCTTATTCGAGATTTTTGCTTATTTGTCTTCGTGTGATGAGTTCATTGTATTTACGTATCTTTCCTTCCGCTTTATGTCATTTAGGGGCAAATTAATATCACATCATGTATCTCGTCTTTTCGTTACGTACATTTATCTGATCTTATTAGCAAGTATCGATTATTACACCAGTAGTTTAAATGAGAAAATAATGTCGTTTTCTTACAAATTGTCATGACGTCTCTCAAATACAGATTCCACATGATGAACACAGCTTTAATTATTCATATAATTTTATGAATTTTGTATCTTTCATCTAATTTGATAGGTCACAACTGAAAGAGAAAATAAGAACAAAAGACATTTGCATTGCAGCTTCGTTTGGGGCTCAAAATTATGATTATAATGATGATATTTTAGTCTCTGGCGTAATTGATTATATATAGATATGTAATTCTGACACTACATTTTACTTTGTGATGATCAATAAAGTGATTAAAAACTGCTTTAACAGTACAGCTTCAATATTGTAGTCCTCATCAGTAAACATATTTGTCATTTATGAAACTGTAGCTTTATAACATTTAATATTTTTTTATTTTTCAGATACACGTAAATGTACAAACAATGGACGTGAATATTTGGTTGGGGATGAAGTGCACATCTCCTCACGTGTCACGTGCGTCTGTCTCCTGACGCCATCTACCGGTGAAATACACTTAGGTAGTTGTGCATTTGGTAACAGGTCTCGCCGCCAGGGATTTCCGACTCCCGCTCCCCCCTCCACCACTGTAAAGCACAGCACCAAGTCCCCACCCCCTTTCACTACCAGGGCGCCACCAGATCCCAAAAGTACTAAAGGACCTTCACCACCATCAACACGAGGAACCACACTAGCGCCACCACCCATCGGATAGAAAATTGAAGTGAAACACCTGATATATGAAGATGTTCAAATGTATCGATAATAAAGATGATGAAATTCTGTTTTACTGTTACCACATCTCCTCGCCCTTGTTATTGACCACAAACATATTCTTGTTCCATGCTGTTAAATCTAAAATGTTTGACGAATTTGAGTTTTTGCTGATGGTTGTTGTACGTTGAAGACATATTAACCATAAGTTTCCTTGTTCACACTATCTAGAATCATAACTTCAAATAATCCCCACTTTCGGTGTGATTGTTTAGTCAGTAAAAACTCTGTAACGTGTATACATTGTCTTGACTGGAGAAAGAAAGTATAGTGAAGTAACATCTATGCATTGCTAGTCTTTGCTTGGAAGGCCCGACTAAAAGAACCGAAACAAATCTAAACATATCATGGATTTTATCACTTCGTATACAACCAAGTGTCTTTGACGGGTGTAGCAGGAGAGTACATAGGTATGCTAGGGGTAAAGGACGATAGAATCAGTTATTTAAACGGAAATTCCGCATAATTAGGATTTTTGAAGAAAATGTACAATAAAATCAACTTATGTTTTTACGGAAATCGTACACCTCAATTTACCATTTAGATAAACACATAATATTTTATTTGCAGAAATCATTACAGACCTAGCTACATCAATTAACAAACGTTCGCGCGGCCCTGATGGCGTCATCACATGTTTCCGTTGTTATAAGACAAACAGAATGAAATAACTGTGTAGATTTTAAAATTAACAGAAAATGAGCCTAATAAATAAATAATGGTAGAAATGTTAGTGAACAGCATGCAGACTTGTGTATTTACCCAATACTCTGCATAAAATCTAAACACCAGCGACCCTTCACTGCCGGATTTCCCGGTGCGCTATATTTAGACGGTTTGGCTGGGGTTATTCCCACCTATTTCGCCGGTCCAATCTGACCAAAGTTTTAAAAGTCATGAGAATGTATTCTTAAAAGGTACAGAACAGTAAGAAATTTTGTATCGTTGATGTAATATCTCTTTAATTCAATGAGTTTAGATTAGTGGGTGACATATCCTTTTCAAATTCTAAAGACGTACGGCAATTAGATTCTGCTCAATAGTATGGAAATATTGGACGTAAAAATTAAGGTAGCGTCTAGTCTATACCATAAACAGAAAACAAGTCCCTTAATCCAATATAGAAATTCAACACACAGATGCTTTTATCGATCCGACGGATAGACATGACGGACCAGTATTTAATTGATAAATTATCTTATATATATATTACATATTAATTCATAAAAATGTGTTTTCCCTCACGCACCACCTCAGCGGACATGTACTTGTATTTTGTAATGATTTACACACATCATAACTCGACCAGGATTAAAAACCAGAGAGAAAAACTTCGAAAGCAAAAAACTCTGGAAAACCTTTGGACGGTTATCTACATATACTATCGGTATTAGTTATATATGTATACATTTCACTAAAACAAAGAAATCATTTGAATTCCGAATTTCCAATTCTCTATCATTCGAATTCATTTCTGAGTGTTACAACATAGAGTAATGATAAAAATTTTAAAAAGTTTGTTCTGATATTTCAGGTAAAAATGATCTCATTTTTACGCCATACTATTTGCTTTCATAGTATACAGTTCACGCGCAATTAACTTTTCCAACAAACATACATTTCCTGTTTCACAAGGCAACATGACGTTGAAAACACAGCATTATTCATATTTCAATTAACTTCATTTGTAAATCAATAAGCATACATAACCGTTCATGTTTCCATGAATGGTAATACATTGAGGTCTCCATGCGACAGAAAACTGAAGACGCTAAAAATAGGGAAATCAAACTTCACATCTGATCAATCTGTGACAGACTTGGTGAAACGTGTAATATTTATCAGTCGTGTTACCAGACCACCTGTTCTAAATGCCTCGAACCATCTGATTTGTAAACATCTCTCGACGAATGTTTTATCATGATGTGTGGTCGCGTGACAACAGTTTTATAATAAACAGTTAGATGTTGCTATCGATAAAGTTTCAACTCAGTCGAAATGTGGTGACAAATATGATGTTAGGCGTCAACAAAATGGTAAATAGAACAATACCATGCACTGCCTTGATAAGATTTGGGCCGTAGTTTTCTAAAACAAAAATAAGAACATTTTAAGTGCTTAATAAACATTTTAGAACCTCCTGTTTTTTTAATATAGCATAGTATCATTTAAGTATATAAACTCTATTTGTGTTTACTTGATAAATATTTTAGATATATTAAGTGAAGTGACGTCATGATGACGTAAGACAAATTGTTGTTCTTTATTCGCAAAAAAATATTCGTATTTTGAAAAAAAAAAAAAAAAAATGAAAAGAACAAACACATGTTATAAAAAAAGGTTAAGATCCACATAGACAACCTTTTACGCATAGTTATTATGCCAAAATCTTTTTACGATTTTCAAAATAGACAATTTCCCAGAAAAAATAGGCTGTAATAAACTTACAGAGAAATCATTTATGACAAGCCCTCAACTTCGAAGAGCTTACGTTTAGTTAAAGCCGTATGAGTTGGTAAACAGGCGTCATACACTTTTCCGGACACTGAAATCACACAGCAAAATATGACTCAATGATTTATACTACGGTGTGAACAAAAATGTCATTTTATATAAACGTATCATGTCCGATGTCCTTTATACTTTCTAACTACATCGTTCTTCCTAATGATGCATTGTTCTATGTATGACGTTGTGATTCATAATTTGTCAGTAGTTCTTTAGCGTTCCATGTCGTAGAAGGAAATATTGTGTATGTCTGGTATGTCATGTCATTATATGTAACATGCCAGTGTAACATGTCCAGTGTCTGTAACATGTCAAGTCTGTAACATGTCCAGTGTCTATAACATGTCCAGTGTAACATGTCCAGTGTAACATGTCCAGTGTCTGTGACATGTCCAGCGTAACATGTCCAGTGTCTGTAACATGTCCAGTGTAACATGTCCAGTGTCTGTAACATGTCAAGTGTCTGTAACATGTCCAGCGTCTGTAACATGTCCAATGGAACATGTCCAGTGTAACATGTCCAGTGTCTGTAACATATCCAGTGTAACATGTCCAGTGTAACATGTCCAGTGTCTGTAACATGTCCAGTGTAACATGTCCAGTGTCTGTAACATGTCCAGTGTAACATGTCCAGTGTCTGTAACATGTCAAGTCTGTAACATGTCCAGTGTTATATGTCCAGTGTAACATGTCCAGTGCATATAACATGTTCAATGTCTGTAACATGTCCAGTGTAACATGTCCAGTGTAACATGTCCAGTGTCTGTAACATGTCCAGTGTAACATGTCCAGTGTCTGTAACATGTCCAGCGTAACATGTCCAGTGTCTGTAACATGTCCAGCGTAACATGTCCAGTGTAACATGTCCAGTGTAACATGTCCAGTGTATATAACATGTTCAGTGTCTGTAACATGTCCAGTGTAACATATCCAGTGTATATAACATGTTCAGTGTCTGTAACATGTCCAGTGTAACATGTCCAGTGTGTAACATGTCCAGTGTAACATGTCCAGTGTCTGTAACACGTCCAGTGTCTGTAACATGTCCAGTGTCTGTAACATGTCCAATGGAACATGTCCAGTGTAACATGTCCAGTGTCTGTAACATGTCTAGTGTAACATGTCCAGTGTTATATGTCCAATGTAACATGTCCAGTGTATATAACATGTTCAGTGTCTGTAACATGTCCAGTGTAACATGTCCAGTGTATATAACATGTTCAGTGTCTGTAACATGTCCAGTGTAACATATCCAGTGTAACATGTCCAGTGGCTGTAACATGTCGAGTGTAACATGTCCAGTGTAACATGTCCAGTGTCTGTAACATGTCCAGCGTAACATGTCCAGTGTAACATGTCTAGTGTAACATGTCCAGTGTCTGTAACATGTCCAGTGTAACATGTCCAGTGTAACATGTCCAGTGTCTGTGACATGTCCAGTGTAACATGTCCAGTGTCTGTAACATGTCCAGTGTAACATGTCCAGTGTCTGTAACATGTCCAGTGTAACATGTCCAGTGTCTGTAACACATCCAGTGTCTGTAACATGTCCAGTGTAACAGGTCCAGTGTCTGTAACATGTCCAGCGTAACTTGTCCAGCGTAACATGTCCAGTGTAACATGTCCAGAGTGTAACATATCCAGTCTGTAACATGTCTAGTGTAACAGGTCCAGTGTCTGTAACATGTCCAATGGAACATGTCCAGTGTAACATGTCCAGTGTCTGTAACATGTCCAGTGTAACATGTCCAGTGTAACATGTCCAGTGTCTGTAACATGTCCAGTGTAACATGTCCAGTGTAACATGTCCAGTGTCTGTAACATGTCCAGTGTAACATGTCCAGTGTCTGTAACATGTCCAGTGTAACATGTCCAGTGTAACATGTCCAGTGTCTGTAACATGTCCAGTGTCTGTAACATGTCCAGCGTAACATGTCCAGTGTAACATGTCCAGTGTAACATGTCCAGTGTAACATGTCCAGTGTAACATGTCCAGTGTAACATGTCCAGTGTCTGTAACATGTCCAGTGTCTGTAACATGTCCAATGTAACATGTCAAGTGTAACATGTCCAGTGTCTGTGACATGTCCAGCGTAACATGTCCAGTGTCTGTAACATGTCCAGTGTAACATGTCCAGTGTCTGTAACATGTCAAGTGTAACATGTCCAGTGACTGTAACCATGTAACCAGTGTAACATGTCCAGTCTGTAACATGTCAGTGTAACAGGTCCAGTGTCTGTAACATGTCCAGTGTCTGTAACATGTCCAGTGTCTGTAACACGTCCAGTGTCTGTAACATGTCCAGTGTCTGTAACATGTCCAATGTAACATGTCCAGTGTAACAGGTCCAGTGTCTGTAACATGTCCAGCGTGACATGTCTAGTGTAACAGGTCCAGTGTCTGTGACATGTCCAGTGTAACATGTCCAGTGTCTGTAACATGTCCAGTGTCTGTAACATGTCCAGTGTAACATGTCCAGTGTAACAGGTAACATGTCCAGTAACAGGTCCAGTGTAACATGTCCAGTGTCTGTAACATGTCCAATGTAACATGTCCAGTGTAACATGTCCAGTGTCTGTAACATGTCCAGTGTCTGTAACATGTCCAGTGTAACATGTCCAGTGTAACATGTCCAGTGTCTGTAACACGTCCAGTGTCTGTAACATGTCCAGTGTCTGTAACATGTCCAGTGTAACATGTCCAGTGTCTGTAACATGTCCAGTGTCTGTAACATGTCCAGTGTCTGTAACATGTCCAATGTAATGTCCAGTGTAACATGTCCAGTGTCTGTAACATGTCCAGTGTAACATGTCCAGTGTAACATGTCCAGTGTAACATGTCCAGTGTAACATGTCCAGTGTCTGTAACATGTCCAGTGTAACATGTCCAGTGTAACATGTCCAGTGTAACATGTCCAGTGTAACATGTCTAGTGTAACATGTCTAGTGTAACATGTCCAATGTCTGTAACATGTCCAGTGTCTGTAACATGTCTAGTGTAACATGTCCAGTGTCTGTAACATGTCCAGTGTAACATGTCCAGTGACTGTAACATGTCAAGTGTAACATGTCCAGTGTCTGTAACATGTCCAGTGTAACATGTCCAGTGTCTGTAACATGTCCAGTGTAACATGTCCAGTGTAACATGTCCAGTGTCTGTAACATGTCCAGTGTAACATGTCCAGTGTCTGTCAGTGTAACATGTCCATGTCAGTGTAACATGTCCAGTGTAACATCTCCTGTGTAACAAGTCCTGTGTCTGTAACATGTCCAGTGTAACATGTCCAGTGTAACATGTCCAGTGTCTGTAACATGTCCATGTCCAGTGTAACATGTCCAGTCTGTAACATGTCCAGTGTTATATGTCCAATTAACATGTATGTAACATGTTCAGTGTCTGTAACATGTCCAGTGTAACATATCCAGTGTCTGTAACATGTCAAGTCTGTAACATGTCTAGTGCAACAGGTCCAGTGTCTGTAACATGTCCAGCATAACATGTCTAGTGTAACAGGTCCAGTGTCTGTAACATGTCCAGTGTCTGTAACATGTCCAGTGTAACATGTCCAGTGTAACATGTCCAGTGTCTGTAACATGTCCAATGGAACATGTCCAGTGTAACATGTCCAGTGTCTGTAACATATCCAGTGTAACATGTCCAGTGTTATATGTCCAGTGTAACATGTCCAGTGTATGTAACATGTTCAGTGTCTGTAACATGTCCAGTGTAACATATCCAGTGTAACATGTCCAGTGTATGTAACATGTTCAGTGTCTGTAACACATGTAACATGTCTGTAACAGTGTCTGTAACATGTCCAGTGTCTGTGTCCACTGTAACATGTCCAGTGTAACATGTCCAGTGTAACATGTCCAGTGTCTGTAACACGTCCAGTGTCTGTAACATGTCCAGTGTCTGTAACATGTCCAATGTAACATGTCCAGTGTAACAGGTCCAGTGTCTGTAACATGTCCAGTGTAACATGTCTGTAACATGTCCAGTGTTATATGTCCAGTGTAACATGTCCAGTGTAACATATCCAGTGTCTGTAACATGTCTAGTGTAACATGTCCAGTGTCTGTAACATGTCCAGTGTAACATGTCCAGTGTAACATATCCAGTGTCTGTAACATGTCTAGTGTAACATGTCCAGTGTCTGTAACAAGTCCAGTGTAACATGTCCAGTGTAACTGTAACATGTCCAGTCTGTGTATATCCAGTGTAACATGTCCAGTGTAACATGTCCAGTGTCTGTAACATGTCCAGTGTAACATGTCCAGTGTAACATGTCCAGTGTCTGTAACATGTCCAGTGTCTGTAACATGTCCAGTGTCTGTAACATGTCCAGTGTAACATGTCCAGTGTCTGTAACATGTCCAGTGTAACATGTCTAGTGTAACATGTCCTAGTGTAACATGTCCAGTGTCTGTAACATGTCCAGTGTAACATATCCAGTGTAACATGTCCAGTGTCTGTAACACGTCCAGTGTCTGTAACATGTCAAGTCTGTAACATGTCCAGTGTAACAGGTCCAGTGTCTGTAACATGTCCAGCGTAACATGTCTAGTGTAACAGGTCCAGTGTCTGTGACATGTCCAGTGTAACATGTCCAGTGTCTGTAACATGTCCAGTGTAACATGTCCAGTGTAACATGTCCAGTGTCTGTAACATGTCCAGTGTCTGTAACATGTCCAGTGTCAAGTCTGTAACAGGTCCAGTGTCTGTAACATGTCCAGCGTAACATATCCAGTGTAACATGTCCAGTGTCTGTAACATGTCCAGAGTGTAACATGTCCAGTGTCTGTAACATGTCCAATGTAATGTCCAGTGTAACATGTCCAGTGTCTGTAACATGTCCAGCGTAACATGTCTAGTGTAACAGGTCCAGTGTCTGTGACATGTCCAGTGTAACATGTCCAGTGTCTGTAACATGTCCAGTCTGTAACATGTCTAGTGTAACAGGTCCAGTGTCTGTAACATGTCCAGCGTCTGTAACATGTAACCAGTCTGTAACATGTCCAGTGTGTAACACAGTG